TGCTATGAGTCGGGTCTGACTTGACAGCACATAACAACAACAACAATAACAACAACAACACAGCTCCCACCTCTTTGAATGTTCCTGTCTGTGGATTTTAGCTACCTTGACTTCCCTTGTGGTAGTTAAATTTGTATGTCAACTTGGCTGGGGCTGGTTCAGTGGCTGGGCAGCTGCAGGTAGTTATTACCCATGATGAGACTGGAAATCAACTCTATGGTGGGATCTACCACAAGCAGCTGAGTAGCTGTCTTTGGGATGTGGTCTGGTTCCTGTATATAAGGAGAGGTCTTGGGGATAGTCTCTAGCTTATGGTATGCTTGGACCCTGCATGTAGCCATGTTGTTGTTTATTAGCCTGCCATGCTCTGCTGACCTTGGGACTTACAATGGACTTACATTAATGGCCTGCTATGTGGTTTGGTAACATTGGGACTGTGCCTTTTTGCTTGTCAGCCTTGGGTTTGTCAGCCTCAGCAGCCAGCAGCTGAATGAAGAAACGCCTCTTGCTCCAGTGGGCTGGGAGCAGGAGGCAGAGCTGGACCCCAAGGTTGAACGGCTTTTACCCAGCTCCTAGCGCCTGGCACTTTGAACTTGAACTTAAAGCCTCCAAACTGTAAGAGAATAAACTCCTGTTTGTTAAGGCCATCCCATTTGTGGTATATTCCTGTCAGAGTGGCACTAGGTAACCAGAACATCTCTGAACTCCCATTTCTGTCTCTTCAACTCCCCCAGCAAGACCTCCAGGCTCTGTTTGGATTCCCTTCATTGTGCTGTGGCCTGGGAACTTTAGGCAGTAAGCTGGAGCAATTGTAGGGCTCCACCTTCTCTCGGGTATCTCAGTCTTGTGCTCCTTGTCCAATGTCTAAAACGTTAATTTATTTTGGTAAATTTTCTAAAATTTTTAAGGCAGGAGAATTTACCCATGGCCAGTTACTCCATGATGGCCGTGTGAGTGTGTGTGTGTGTGTGTGTGTGAAGTTTCAGTTTGTGTCTTTATTCCACTGGCTTATTTGTCTTACTGACTTCTGAGACTTCTTTTTATGTTCAGATACAAGTCTCTTGTCAGATATAACAGAATCTATGCTGTCAACCACTCCTCTTTTCTGGATTGAGAGGGATGGGCTGGGGAAGGGAATGTACACAGGCCATTGTAGTCATCCAGGAGAGAGATGACTAGACTAACTAGGATAGGGAGTTAGATGGAACAAAGTAGAAGGACTTTTAAAAATATCTAAAAAAACAAACATGCAGAAAACCTTAAGGGGTTCTGAGTCTATTTGTCTTTTCTTTGTGTCTTCTGAATGTTCTGAAGTAGTTTTTTAAACTACAAATCTGAATCACTTCTCTGCTTATGTTAACCACAGAATGTCCCAGGAACCCAGGACATACTTCCTTTTCCTGTTCCTTTTTCTGAGCAATGCAGTGGCGAGTCAGAGAGTTCCAAGTTCCAAGCAGGGTAAGTCTGGTGAGGAATCACTCTACATGGTTTGTACACATGTCAGGGAGTGAAGTGTCTTTGGTGTAGATCAGTTTAGGCACATGATGCTTTAGAATGTTTTAGGATGTGTGGGTATGAAGGATTGTCAGGATTATTCTAAAAGGATTTTTGAAACCAGTTTTCTCATACTGCATACATATGGACACAGGTATGGTTAAAATTCACTAAAATTTCATCAGGAGTGACTTTTTGGGACTCTTTTACTAACCCATCTTTGTATTTTTGAAGGTCATATAATTCAATTCTAGTTATCCATACAATGGCTTTCTTACAGATTTGCATCCATTGTTGCACAAAATGGCAGTGAGTATTTCTTTTTCTTTTAATCAAAATACCCTCACTGGAACATGCCAACTTTTGGATGTTAGAGTTGATATTATCTCTTTGCCTTTTAGGAAGAAATAATAGAGGGAAGCTATCTGAATGGTAATGTTCCCCCTCACTTCTTCCAAGAATGTGAAGCAGACTGTGGCTCTGATCTCTCTGGAATCGTTGCCTTCTAAGTTGTCTTTTCATTTTATTCTCATTGCAGCATTACTGGATCTCATACAGTTTCAAAGGTAACTCATCCTAGAGTGGGAGAGGGGAGGAGATAGGATAGATTTATATATTTAATTTATTTTATTGTGATTTGGGTGAAAGTTTACAAAGCAAATTCATTTTCCATACAGCAGTTCATACACATTTTGTTTCTTGAGATTGACTGCAGTTCCGCACAATGTAACCACTCTCTTTCCACTTCCTCCCTGTAGTTACCTCTTCCTTGTGTCCTTCTTTCCTATGCATTCCTGCCCTGTGAGCTATTTCCCTGTGCAAATATTGCCCTTCTGTTCCCCCGTGATTGATTGTGCTAAGGATTGTATCTACCTGGTGTAGATATTCACTCTAGATGCCTGTCTATTTGGCTAGAAGCCACAGGAGTGAGTTCAATTCCAGACCCAAAGGGTGGCTAAGGGCTAGGGTTTTGGGGGTCTCACCAGGCTCTATCAGACCAGTAAGCCTGGTCTTTTTTTTTTTTTTTTTATGATTTTGAGTTTCATTCCACGTTGTTCTACCACTCTATCCAAGGAGATAGGATAGATTTTTAATAAAAATTCTGAGTGGACCTTTCTTAATTATAAAAAGTAATGCATGCCAATTACAGAAATATCAATCATTGCACAAGTGTTTGAAAGTAGATACATTTGTTCTGGGCACATTTATTCTTTCTCTGCTCTAGCCGAGGAACTAACATTTTTCAAGGGCTTACTTGGAACAGGCATGTCTGTTCCAAGTGCTCTTATCCATTTAAACTCATCTAATCCTCATGAGTACCCCTTGAGGTAGTCCTGCTGTTGTCCCCCATTGTACAGAATAATGAAACCGTGGCACAGGGAGCTGAATCGTTTGCTCAAGGTCACAGCTAAGAAGTGGTGGAGCTGGCCTGTGCACTGAGCAGCCTGGCTCCAGGGACCATCCCCTTCACTGCCATTCTGTATGCACACTGCCTGCGTTAGGCCCTGGGGACATGGGTAGGGAGATCGAGAGCGCTGTGAAAGACAAATGTTGACAAGGAATCCTAATATGATGAGTTCTGTGAAGTGGCTTAGTGCCTAAGGCATTTGACTGCTAACCAGAAAGCTGGTAGTTCAAACCCACCAGCCACTTCTCGGAAGGAAGGTTAGGCAATCTATTTCCGTAGTGATACCACCTCGTCAACCCAAGGAGGGGTCGCTATGAGTCGGATCTGACTCCGTGGCAGTGGCTGGTGCTGCATGAAGGAAAAGAAATGGTGGCCATGGAGCCCACAATAGGGGTTCCCCATTATGTTAAGGTGAAAGATCCTTGTGAGTACTCTTCTCCCCAAAATAACTCCAATCGACAGTTTTGGATATATTCTTTCAGGCTAAAATTTTTATTTATTTCTTTGTTCATTCATTCATTTTTTTACATTTTTATTGTGATTTGGGTGAAAGTTTGCAGAAGAAATTCATTTACCATAGAACAGTTCATACATATTTTGTTTCATGACAGTTATTCATTCATTTACTTACAGCCAACAAAAATGGGATTATAAAAGGCAATTAGTGAGAGTTTATTTACTGTGTGTTAGTTAGTGTTCTAAGCACTTTACATGTGTGAACTAATTTAATTCTCACAGTTATTACCCATACTTCATGGAAAGGAAACTGAAGAAATTAAGCAAATATGGTTAAGATCACACAAGTAAGAGATAAAGCCAGGATTCAAATCCACATGTTGAGCCCACAGTCCCACCTACATATACCAGCCTCTTGTGTACACACAGCCTCTGCTTTTTAAACTTAATATACTAAAGACATCTTTCCAAATCAGTATGTTTGGATTTAAGTGGATTGGTAGGGGAATTAGAATATTGCAGATAGCTTAGAAATTGGTCATTGTCTTTAAGAGAATGGGATCCAGGCAGAGTCCTAGGATTAGAAACTTGTCACCGTGGGGCTAGACTAAGAAATCTGCTTTGAATGACAAAGCTGCTAGTATCCCTGGCCCATTTGGCCCGTCCTTTCTGGAATCCCCTGGGCATCAGCTAATGTAGCACTGCTGGTAGGGAACCTCGTGTCGTGACCCTCTCCCGTTTGTCTTTGGCTGAAGCTCCCACGCGTGGACGGCAGACCTGTCCCACAGAATCCTGGCCTATCTGAATTCACGGAATGTTGCCTTCACCATTGCCAGCCTGCAGGTGAGCCCTTGTACCCCCTCTGTGTATTCTCTCAAGGGGCAGGCAAATTGGAGAAGGGGGCCAGGGTTAGAAATACATTTCACTCTCAAAATTATAGTGGCTCACTTCTACTGTCAGTGATGCCATGTTGGTAACGTGAAATCAATCATGGAGGGAATATACAATCATGGAAGCTGGTAAACGCTGCAGAGTAGAGCTGGATTTGTTGGTTGTCTAGATTTAAAGAAGTGATGGAGAAAGTGTCAACAATGCAGGGTAAGTTTACTGTGCAGGGTCAGTGTAGTGTGTCTGCAGCCATTCCATTGTGAATAGCACAGGACATCGAGGAACTACTCTTTCAACATTCAACAGCTCTTGTCTGGGTGGCATATTATTAATCAATGCCATGGACAGTAAATGTGGCCGTTGTGTTGGCGAATGTTTTGGTGTGTATATTTTGCCCACAATAAACTAAGACTCTTATTCAGCAAGAAAGTCACTCTCATTATTGACAAATGAGTGAAGTTCTCACTTATGTCTTTGTTGCTTCCACTTCTTCTTGGTCTTTAATGGAAACAGAAATACCAACCAACATTCACATCAGAGCTACAGAGCACACCAGGGCGCTGGTGGTTAGCCACTTACCCAGACACCGCTTGTTGGAGATGACTGATGGCCCCATGGCATCTGCATTCTTTCTTCTGGACATCAGTCTGTGGCCTAAAGAGAGGCAGTCCCTCCTTTTTCTCTCTAGCAATAAGGTTTCTGATGAAATATATATACTTTAATCTGAGATATGCTGCCTCTTTCTGGCTCTAAACTCCTAGCAAGCCCATGTGTCAGAGTAGAACTACATTGTGTGGGGTTTTCATAGGCTGTGACCTTTTAGAAATAGATTGTCAGGACTTTCTTCTGAGGTGTCCCTAGGTGACCTTGAACTGCCAACCTTTTAGTTGATAGCCAAGCACTTAATCATTTGCACTGCCCAGGGATTACACACACACACACACACACACACATTTTTCATCCAATATCTATTTATTTAGCATCTACTTTGTGCCAGAAACAGTTCTAGACACTTGGACATGCTTATACTAATTTTTTTTTGTTACTTGCCTGAAATTCAAACTTAACCAAATGTCCTATATTTATCTAGCAACCCTAGTTAAGCAACTTGCTCAAGGACACACAGCTAGTAAGTGGCAAGGCAGGAATTGGCACAGGGTAGTCTCATTCTGGGTTCTAGGTAAATGAGCTCTAGTGGTGTAGTGGAGAAAGCATTTGGCTGCTAACCAGAAAGTTGGTGATTCAAACCCACCAACTTCTCTGTGGAAGGACGATGAATTGATCTGCTTCCATACAGATTCACAGCCTTGGAAACCCAGCGGGGATCACTATGAGTTAGAATCAAGTCAACACCAGTGGGTTTTTGGTTTAGTCTGGTTCTGGAAGAAAGGCTTGGTGATTTACTCCCCACAAACCAGCCAGTGGAAATCCTGTGGATCACAGCAGTCCGATCCCACTGTGCATGTGATGGCCCTCACAGCAGTCCGATCCCCCGAT